AAGAATATATTTTAGCAATGACTTTCAGTGACAAGTTTGCTTTCTTTCTGTCTACAAACTCTTATTTTTGCATAAAAAAGCTGAAAAAAATTGTTGCCCATTTGAATAAACAAGTTTCTACTTTATTTCCTGTATGATCATCAACCCATATGATATGTTAGCCTCAGCTCCATCATTGCATCAATAAGAGTTGCTGTACTGATTTTCCTACTATAATTCAAAGTTGGGCCCATTTCACATATATATATATATATAGAAGATGAGCTGCAGCTAGCGTACAGAAAGGAACTTTGAAACAGTTCGTTTTCCAGACCATTTACAAGAACATGTAGGAATTACAACTACTGCATTTAGCGTCGATGATTTTTAATTAAAAAAAAATGGTTCAGAAACTAGTATATAAATGAAATAAAATACAATATACCATTTTCAGAAAGTTGACCTAAATTATGAACATTCACGGACCATTGTATATTTCTTGCATCTTGTGTCTCTACGTTTTGTTACAATACAACATTGTAATACTGCTTCAATGTAAAACTCGTCGTAATAAGAAGTTAAAAACTTGTGAACCAAAACATAAAACTTATAATATTGCATTTTTACATGGTTTCATACATGTATTGCATAAATACCATTTTTCTTGCGTCTAGATTAACTAGTAGTGTTGTTCATGTACACCTAAACCATTAAAGTCACAGGAATAGTCATAATCATGTAATAAACGATGAGAAAGTTGAGCAAATCAGTTGATAACAGTGTCTATATTTAATAATGAAATGAAAGTTTGATAGCATATTTGGAAAGTTCAAAGTTTGGTATGCCTTCTGATTCGATTTCTCAATATGTTATGGATATGAATTATCTTAAAAAACTCTTCTAATATAATGGTATGTAAATTAGCAGTGGTTTAGTTGATTGAATTAAACCAAAATTAAATTAAATGATGAACCAAAGAAACACAAGGGAGTAAAACAAACTGATACCACAAAAACCCAAATGCAAACTACTTTATTAATTAATGACTAAGTAGAAATATTAACAGATTAATCTTCAGGAGAAGATATTCATATGCACAAAGATCTAAGTTTAAAAGTACAATGGAAAAACCATTTACATAGTCTCCATTCCCAATTTTGACTCTGGAGTAGTAAGACTTGTCCAGCCTGATGAAATTCTACAAATCTGTTGCGTTGGTGCAGCTACTATCTATCAGCCACATTTCATTGCTGGCCTAAGCTGTGTAACAAGAAGCTACAAACAATTGTTCAGACTCATGGCCTTGCTGTTGATTTTCTACAGCTTGAGCTTGTTGTGGTGGTTGAGTTCCTTTGTTCTTGCATATCTTCTCAATGTGGCCAAATTGTTTGCAGGCCCTACATTGAATTCCAGGCCTAAACCAGAACCTATTCTCCGAGTGACTCTTTTTCTTGCAGTGGGGACATGGTGGATAGCCCCTTGTTCCACTTGATTTTCCCCACTGACCACTGGTATTTTCTTTCCCTTTCTTAACTCCAGCATACCTTCTATTATTCCCCTGCATAATCTTTCCTCTTTGAGTTGCCATCATAGCACCTTCATTAGCATCCTCCTGCCTAGGACTGTCAGACGAGTCAAGCGGCTCACAAGCTGGCTCGGCTCAACTCGATAATTGTTGAGTCGACTCGGCTCAAACTCGGTTTATTAATCGAGTCGAGTTTGAACATTGGGGAGCTCAACTCGTGGGTTCCGAGCCTAGGCTGGCTTGTGTATGCACTGTGCACTTACATAGGGTGCTTTGGTGAGTTTTATAAACCATGAGGTATTAAACTGATATATTGCAGTGAAAAAACTTTAAAAAAAATGACAATTACCCCCCCCCCCCCTAAAGTGCAAAATCGTAAAACACCCAATTTATCCCCAAATCAATTTGATTTGCCCTAATTCCCAAATCGCAAACAAAGAACCCTATGTCCTTAACCCGCGAACCAAACACCAGTCCTCAGCTCCTCGCCATGAAATCAATCCTCTCCATCGCCGTCGTCAATCTCGCCAGGAGAAAACACAGTCACACAAACCCCCAAATCGCAAAATCGCACCAACCACCACCGTGAAATCGACTGCCCGAAATCACAAAATCACACCAGCCACCACTGTGAAACTGACAGGCTTCATCCCGTGTTCTTGCAACCACCGGTGAGTTTTTCATCTCTTCTTTCATCCCTTTGACGCTGCATTCCAGAGGATTAACTACTTCATTTAGGTTGCACAATGATTTCACAAACTTATTGTTATGCTTATGAGTTGTTTTGGTTTTGAATTTATGTTTGTTTTTTAGTTGTTTGTTCATTGATTTCACGCTGCATTCCAGAGGATGATTATCACATTAACAGTAATGATTTTGCTTTACTGTTTTATACACACTGAATTTGTCCGATTTCAAATTGATGTTGAAGTATTTAATTATCACATTAACAGGAATTGCTTTACCGTAGTCATGACATACATTATCAAATACATGGCTTAGGTAATCAGTCCTTTGTTCCTCTGTGTATCTTTAATACTATGGTGTTAATTAATAGCTTGTTAAGTTAAACAGTCATATATGATGTTTCAGGCGTTGGATTGGTTGAAAGCTTATTACTCCCAAAAGAAGCAGATTCCATTTTAAAGAGATACAATTGCTGACATACGAAGAGATATTCAATCTAAATTCCAGGAATTGGCTTTTTGCTTGAAATATAAGGAGAATACCCAAGTTGGTTCATCATTAGTAAAAGGAAAATGTACGTATGAACTTTCCTAATTCTTCACCAGTCAAAAGAGAACTTGCCTTTGAATTTTCTTTTATGTTTTAGTTAAGTTGTGATTTTCTTGCCTTGAATTATGAAATATAAGGAGAATACCCAAGTTGGTTCATCATTAGTAAAAGGAAAACGTACGTATGAACTTCCCTAATTCTTCACCAGTCAAAAGAGAACTTGCCTTTGAATTTTCTTTTATGTTTTAGTTAAGTTGTGATTTTCTTGCCTTGAATTAAACTCTTCTATGTAAATTTCATTTAACCTTTTTTCCATCCATTTTGCAACTGTGCATTCTTTTTTCTGCTATTATAGCATGTGGCTAACATAGCATAGATTACATATCCACATGTGCTATGCTTGTTATAAAGCCAGTCAAGAAAAATCTAATCATTTAAAATTTTGCCTTTGAGATCTCAAGGCAGGAAAGGTACCAATAAATTCCTAGGAGAAATGTGATCTTTGATCTAAAATTTCACATAAGTATATGTTTCTCTGTACAACCCAAAATATCAATTATTGACTCAAATGTTTGTCCTACCAGAAGTCATTAAAGAAGTCACAATGCTGGAGCCAATACATTCATGTTAAAATACTGGATTGTCCTTTAAGAGAAATGGCCCCTGGAACATTTTCTATGTTTATGTGTTAACAATGTAATAGATAGCCTTCATTGCTCACCATGGCTATCTCTCCCAGTTCCAGTTAGTATTTGATTGTTGACAATAATTGGTACTCTCTCTCTCCCATATTGAATTGCAATTATGAAGATATTGTGCTAATTGGCCATTGGTTGGTATGGATGTTTGCTTGGTATCATATTTGAAATTTGTGACATGGATTGCTTTGTAATGAGTAGTAATTCTAAACTTGGGGATGTAGCATTGGATGTTTGCTTGGTATCATATTTGAAATTTGTGACATGGATTGCTTTGTAATGAGTAGTAATCTAAAACTTGGGGATGTAGCATTAGATGTTTGCTTGGTATCATATTTGAAATTTGCGACATGGATTGCTCTATAATGGTGTCTTATTTTTCGATTGTAGGTATGGCCTCGGGAGACAGTTCCTCAAGCACCCCTACATTGGATGACGTCGACGATTGTGTTACGGTAAGAGCAGTCGATCGACGTAACATTTATGCAAGCACAGGTGGTACGGAGCAAAGTGTCAGTAGCCCTAAAAATGTAGAGGATAATGACAATCCACTACAAAGGAAGAAAAGAGCAAAGACATCAGTTGTGTGGTCAGAATTTAGGGAGGTGGTTCACCCTGGTGGTACAAGGAAGGCATAGTGCATTCATTGTAAAACAAAGCTGAAAATGACTACCACTGGAAGCACTACACAATTCAATAGACATTTGAAAAGGTGTGCGAAGAGAATAGCTAACTTGATGCAACAACAAATAAATTTCCCCGCTTCCAGTTCTCAGGGTGTCTCTACTGTCTTACCTACTCTACGGGGCCAATTAGATATGATGAAGATGAGGGAACTTATTGCACATTGGGTGCTGATGCATGAGCATCTGTTTTCTATTGTGGAGGAAGAGCGGTTGAACAACATGATAAAGTACGGGATTCCTCAATGGACTTCGATTTCCCGTAATACTTGTAAGAATGATTGTATAAGAGTGTTTGAAAATGAGAGGCAGAAGTTGTTAACCCTATTGAAGGGTGTTAGGAAGATAAGTCTGACCACATATATATGGCATTCAGGCAACTAGATGATGGAATACATGGTCTTGACTGGGCATTGGATTGATGATAATTGGAAGTTTAATAGATAGGTGTTAAACTTTATTCATTTCCCTCCTCCTCGTTCTAGTGTTGCCATTGCTGATGCAATTTTCAAGTGTTTGATGGAGTGGGGAATTGAAGCTAAGGTCCACACGATCTCAGTGGATAATGGTTCAAACAATGATGTTGTAGTAAAAGTGTTGAAAGATAATTTCCAAGCTACAGGGAAGCTTATATGTGGGGGCAAGATGTTTCATGTGAGGTGTTGTGCACACATCTTGAACTTGGTTGTTCAAGATGGTCTTTATCGGATTAGACACATTATTGAGGACATCCATGATAGCGTGGTGTATATCAATTCATCGAAGAGTAGACTAAAGGTGTTTGCAGAGATTGTTCAGTAGCGACAATTGCCATTTCACAAGCTTATTCTTGATTGCAAAACACGGTGGAATTCAACATATAATATGTTGACAACGGCAATGAAATTTAGACGTGTTTTTCCTTATTTGAAGGAGAGGGATTTGAGTTATCATTATTGTCCCAAGAAGGAGGATTGGGACAAAGTTGAGAAAATTTGTTCAATTTTGAAGGTGTTTAGTGGTGCATCGAATCTCATATCGAGGAGTGATTATCCGACATCAAACTTGTTTCTAAAACAAGTTTGTACAATCAAAATTATGTTGGATAGTAAGAGTCAGGATGAAGATGAGTTTATACAGTCCATGATTTGGAAAATGAAAGAAAAGTTTGACAAATATTGGGGAGAATGTAATCTATTGATGGGTGTGGCTGCTATTTTGGACCCCAGACTGAAGATGAGGGTGATTCAATGGGCGTTCTCTAAGATGTATCATGAACGTGAAGCACGGCAAATACTGATGTTGTTCGAGATGCCTTGTATAAGGTATATATGGAGTATGTTGATGCCAGTAAAACATTGACTATTGCCCACGCTTCTACATCTACAAGGGATGGAGTTAAGGTTGTTGGTGAGGGGTCAAGGGCAACGGCAGAGAGGGCAGACGATTGGGATGATTTTAGTCAGTTTCTGGATGTCGTTGAGACGATTGAGCCAACGAAATTAGAGTTAGACTGTTACCTGGGAGAAGGATGCCATAAATATGTCGGGGACCCTACGACGTTTGATGCTTTGACGTGGTGGAAGGCTAATTCAACAAAGTTCCTTATCTTGTCTACCATGGCTCGTGACATATTAGTCATCCCTATCACTACGGTTGCTTCTAAGTCTGCTTTTAGTGCCAACAGTAGGGTTATTGACACGTACTGATTGTCGTTGTCTCTCGACACAATAGAGATGCTCTTATGTGGATGTGATTGGTGCAGGACTTTGAATGGGGTGAAGAAATGATGTAAAGTAGGTTGTACACTTATATTGAATATTGTTTTTATTAAATTTAATTATTACTTTATATTTATACTAACTAAACTTCAATTGCTCCTCCTTTGTCATCATCAACCGTTGGAGATCAACTTTCCTATCCCGTAAGTTCTTGGGATTCAGTGTTCAGTGCATGGTTTGGATGTGGTAAGAGGCATGCATAGGTAAAAGTTTGATTCCTTTTGCTTTTGTTTCATGATTATACATATTTTCATATTTTTCTCTTGTCATAGTTACCTTAAAAAATAATTACTAAATTGAACATTTTATACAGCCAGGGGGAAATGGTGGTTTTGGTCGAAGACAGTCCTACTGTAGACTACTGGTGGATAGTGATTTTGATTGGTGGACTGTATTTTCATATCTTGGAATGTTATTTGTGTATATTCTGAACTTTTTTTTGATTTTGTAAAGTAATAGACATTTTGTAAAGTCCGAAATTGTCATGGTTACTATGGTTGGAAATACTAACTGTCATGGTTCAATTCTTTGTACATACCTATTTATGAAGTTTGAATTGTGCTTATTTATGTTATTTTTTTTCTGTAAATTCAACATTGGATGTAAAGAAGGAATGTTGTACGTAGGAAGACTGTAAGCAGGCTATAAAAAAGGGGAATTTGGCTCGATTAAACCTGGGTTTAAAGCTTGAGTTTGAGCCAGCTCGCGAGCCGACTTGAACTTGATCGAGCTCGAGTTCGAGTCGCAATTCTGAGGCTCGTCAAGCTCAAGCTCGAACTCGAGCTCGACCCTATAGTAAACAAGTCGAGCTCGATAAGCTGAAAGCTCGGCTCGTTTGCAGTCCTACTCTTGCCTCATTAATCTTCTTTGTTCTTGAGCTTGCAATGCATGGACCAACTCAGTAAGAGTGATTTGAGACAAGTCCTTGGAATCCTCTGGAGAGAAAATCTTTGATTTAAACCTCTCGGGCAAGCTCACTTGCACCTTCTCAACAATCATCTTGTCACTCATTTCCATTCCAAGTAACCTGACCTTATTAACCACACTCATCAATCTATCCACATATTCTTTTACTTTCTCAACATCTTGCATTCTCAACATCTCAAATTCCCTTCTCAAGTTCATCACTTGCATATTTCTCATTGTATCACTTCCCATAAACTCCTCTCTCAGCTTATCCCATGCTTCTTTTATTGTTTCACATATCATTATCCTTGTAAACACAAGGTCTATAACAGCCGAATGAATGTGAGATAAAGCCCTTCGAGCCTTCGACATTTCTTCTTCATACAGCCTCATTTGATTCAGAATGGGATTTGGACCCAGCTGAGGAGGCTGTTTCTCTTCTTCAATGTATTGCTAAAGCCTCTGCCCTCTTAGATAAGCCTTCATCCTTACAGCCCAAATATGGTATTGCTCACCATTGAAGACAGGAGGTGAAAGAGAGGCTGACTGAGATGCCATAGATGCAGGTTTTGTGACTTGGGACAGAGTTGTTCTTGAAGAAAGCTGGAGGGTGACGAAACTTAAGGATCGGTTTTGTGATTTTATCTAGAGGTCTGGTAAGATGGCTCTGATACCATTTTGTTGGTTTGAATGCCAGATTACATAAAGAAAGAAAAAATCTGAAGAGAACAAGCTACATTCATTGAACCATTAAGCACAACTTATACACAATATAATACTTGCAGTCCACTGTTACAACCACTATATCAGGGACCTTTTTGCATAATTAAAACTAAGCCACACAATGTGAACTAATACATTACAATTAAGGGACATAAAGCCATATTTTCGGTTGCATCTACCTAATTACATCACAACAAAAAATACTATCCAGCTGCCCCTAAACCACTTCTTCCAGGACAACACACTGGTCTTCCTTGGCGCCAAAAAAACATCTTCAAACTACCAGCCCTTGAACATTGCATTTCTAGCAAAATATCATGACTTCATCAATGTCCAAGATACAAACAGTAGATGTACTTCCCATATCTCATGGTGGTTTATGGGAGATATATATGATCCAGAACATGATGAAACAACATCTTTTAGGAGACTAGAGACAACACACTTAAGGTGGAAAATTCGGGCATGTATCAACTAAATTTAATGTTCAAGAGAAAGGAAAATTAAACAAAAAAAAAAAAAAAAAGTTCCATGTTTTAATGTAATATCTAGTTTAACGTTTGAACCATGGTAGCTAGCTTTCATGTGTAAACTTTTTTGCCCTTTCATGGGACAATCATGATATTATCAGTCTGTCACAGACTTTATCTACAGAAGGAAACGAGAAGACAGAGAGACAGAGATATAATATCATGACAAAAAAATAGAAATTCTCATGTGGATATGTACTTTAGGTGATGACCATGGCCAGTGATTCAGTTTCATACTGATACTCTACTTGTTCTTTTTCTTTGCATTGTTAAATCTACATTAAAAAACATGATCAGGTTGGAATTCTGAGAATGCAGCTCTCTCCTGCCAACATAGAAGGTACCTACCTGTTAAAGTCACANTTCTAAATATATATAGCAGAACCAGAAATCGATTGGGTGAGTTTAAGTTGACTTGGTATGGCAAATGGCTTGATTGTACTACACAAAAGGCCAGCTGGGCATGGTACTCCAAAAATGTAGTAATGGTTTGAATAATGAGTGTTAGTACAACTTTGTACTATGAACCTAGCTCACACTTCCCATTGTACTATTTTATTTTGTGTATAAATTAGCCCAGTTGTATTGTAATTTATATGTACTACAGTACTAGTACTACTATTACTACGATTACTATCTTTCAAAGTACTTGTTTTAAGATGAAAATTAAAAACCCTTTTCCTCATTATTGGTAAAAAATTTGCGACAAATTAATTATTTCTTTAATTGTAAGTTTCAATCAAACTATTATAATGTTTGCTTCTGGTACAATTGAGTTTAATTTTACATGGAAAAGAGTCGCACTTTTTCAAATAAAATATTATATAAAACAAAAAAACTAAAAAGAAAATATCTCTCAATAATTTATCCATGAATTTCTGATCAGACCAGAGCAAAATAATGGCCATCTTTGGAATCCCTTTTGCTGCTCATAACTCTCTCTCAATACAACCCACAAAAAAGCCTACATTTCACTCTTTTCCAACAAGAAATTATCAAACATTAGCTTCAACACTTGCCCAATTTGACAATTCTTCAACAACAGCCAAAACCCATTTACCCAGTGCCAGGTATTCCGCTCAACATACTTCTTTTGTTCAGAACGTAACCCTTATGCTTCAATCTTTGGACTTCACAAACCCTGATGCTTGTACTGAAATTTATGCTTTCATTTTTCAAAAATGTAAACAACTCAATAATCTGGAACTGGGTTCTCAACTTCATGCCCATTTGATTGTTTGTGGAGTTGAATTGTGTGCATTTCTGGGTAGTCAATTACTGGAGTTGTATTGTAGACTTGGTTGTGTAAATGATGCTCGTAAAGTTTTTGAAAAAATGCCTGAAAGAAACGTGTTTAGTTGGACTTCAATGATGGGAATGTATAATGTGTTGGGTTGTTATGAAGAAATTGTAAATTTGTTTTATTTGATGATTAGTGAAGGAGTTAGACCTGATCACTTTGTTTTTCCGAAAGTGTTTAAGGCGTGCTCGGAGCTGAAGGATTTTCGAGTAGGGAAGGATGTTTATGATTATATGATAAGTATTGAATTTGAAGGGAATGCTTGTGTTAAGAGAGCTTTACTTGATATGTTTATAAAATGTGGAAGAATGGAAATAGCAACAGAGTTGTTTGAAGAAATTGAGTATAAGGATGTCGTGATGTGGAACATGATGGTTTCGGGTTATGCGTCAAGAGGAGATTTTGACAAGGCCTTAACATGTGTCAAGGACATGAAGCTTGATGGCGTCTTGCCTGATCAAGTAACATGGAATTCGATTATCACGGGATATGCTCAAAGTGGAAGACTGAAGGAGGCTTCTAAGTGGTTTAGTCAAATGAATGATTCCAAAGATTTTAAACCAAATTTAGTGTCTTGGACTGCCTTGATAGCTGGACATGAGCAGAATGGTTATTCATCTCAAGCGTTGCATTTGTTTAAGCAAATGCTGAATCAAGGAGTGAAACCAAACTCTAGAACCATAGCTAGTGTAATTTCAGCTTGTACCAACTTGTCTATGCTTCAGCATGGCAAGGAGATCCATGGCTATTGTATAAAGAAGGACGGTTTGCGTTCAGATTTAATGGTGGGTAACTCATTGGTTGACTTCTATGCTAAGTGCCAGTGTCTAGATGCAGCACGTCTAGAATTTGATAAAATTAAACAAAAGGATTTGGTATCTTGGAATACAATGCTAGCTGGTTATGCAGTTAAAGGTTCTTATGAGGATGCCATTAAACTTCTCAATGAGATGGAGATACAGGGTGTTGAACCGGACACTGTTACATGGAATGGGCTGATTACAGGCTTTACCCAGAATGGACAAGGGGAGACAGCTCTTGAGTTTTTCTATAGAATGAACCAAGCAGATATGGACCTGAACATAACTTCTATATCTGGTGCTCTTGCTGCTTGTACCCAAGTAAAGGATTTGAAGTTAGGAAAGGAGATTCATGGCTATGTTATAAGGCACTGTATTCAACTGTCAACAGGTGTAGGAAGTGCTCTTATTTCAATGTATGCAGCTTGTAGTTGTTTAAAGAATTCCTTCTCTATTTTCAGCCAGCTCTCCACAAGAGACATTGTCATTTGGAATTCGATTCTTGCTGCCTTTGTACAAAGTGGACAAGTTATTGATGCTTTAAACTTACTTCGACATATGATATTCAGTAATGTGAAACCCGATACTGTAACAATAGTCTCAGTCCTTCCTGCATGTTCAAAATTAGCTGCTCTGCGCCAGGGTAAAGAAATTCATCAGTTCATCATC